CCAAGGTACTGTGGCTGACCAAGTGTCTCAGCCACAAATAAAACATATTGACAGTTTTGTTCATAGAATACAGCAATAAGTTTTCCCTGTTAGAGTGGCCACACCAGTCAACGTATCCTAATCATAGGGAGCACCTTTGGGATGTGGTGAAAAGGGAGATTCATTCGAATCCTGAGTGTGTAGCCAACTAATCTCGAAGAATTGCGAGATGCCATGATAACAGTATTGACTCAAATTTCGAAACAGTCCTTCTAGAACGTCGTTGACTCCATGCTAAAAGAACTGGTGAAGTTCCAAAGGTAATCAGGACCAACCCACTACTAGAAGAGTATACAAGGACAGTGAGTACACACACACACACACACACACACACACACACACACACACACACACACACACACACACACACACACACACGGTCTGATATTCTTTAATTAACAATAATTTTGCTCTGTCTTTTGACATAGATCTCTCCCTGGATCTATATCCTCCTGGAAATTTCATACGGATTACCATGTTATATATATATATATATATATATATATATATATATATATATATATATGTGTGTGTGTGTGTGTGTGTGTGTGTGTGTGTGATAAAAGTATGATTTTATGGTTTGCTAAATTCATGGTCTGAAGATTGCGTTTAAATATGAGTAGGTGTTGACCTCAATATCCACTTTTACACACACGCACACATATATTCTCTCTCTCTCTCTCTCTCTCTCTCTCTCTCTCTCTCTATATATATATATATATATATATATATATATATGTATGCGTCTCTGTGTGTAAAAATGCTGGTATAAATAACAGACATCTGCAAAGACATTATAATTAAAAGAAAAGACAAGAGGAGAACATTTTATACCAACGCGTTTCTTTCCTTGACGAACTTTGTCAAGTGTGGAAATTTTATCTGCTAACCCGTATTTATATACAGAAATAACACGGAGAAAAGATAAAATAACGTTAATTATTCAATGTTTGAATTAGAGAACGCTCTAAAATATTCTAAAAGCTTACCGTGTAAGGATAGGTAAACTATGGAGTGCCTTAAGTGAAGTAATTATTTGGCCTATTAAACTATCATTTAGTTTCCGTCATGGTTTAACTTTCATTACACAATAAGTTTTAGAATATTTTAAAGTGTTCTCTAATTCAGTAAACAGTTTAATTAAAGGCTACAAGACCAAAGTTTTATGCTCCTTCTGATCACACAATGGAGCGGTCTGAACAGATACATTTTTTTCTGGATGAGTCTTTTCTATTTTTCTTTTTACAGAATCAACCCTCTTTAAGTACAGATTTCAAGGGAGACTGTTATTATCCACTTTGATAGATTGACACAGTCCGTCTCTTACTACTCTGATTGCAGTTAATACATTTGTATACAGTGGAACCTCGGTTCACGAATTTAATTTGTTCCTGAAGGACGTTCGTAACCCGAAATGTTCGTAAACCGAAACTATTTTCCTAATAGGAATCAATGTAGAAAAAAAAGTGACTACAATAAAATTAGAAGAAAAAAAAGCACACCACACCACACGAATGTATACAACATGGCGGTCGACTTAGAAATTATTCCGTCGGGTTAATTCGGTCCGGCAATGTTGTTCGAGAACCGAAATTTTGTTCGATAACCGAGGGATTTTCATCTCGAATTTTCTATTCGAAAACCGATTTGTTCAACATGTGAGACGTTCAAGAACCGAGGTTGCTCTGTAGTTGTAAATCTGTAAGATTTCAACAGAATAAATGACTGTCTATGGACGTGCACATTTACTTATATATATATATAAAAAGATGCCTATTGTCAGGTTAAATAGATTGGCTTCTCTTTTTAGAGTTTACTCTGCACCAACCTATTCTGTAGAATATCCCATAGCAAAATGTGTACGTGTGCTTATATGTGTACGTGTGTGTGTGAGAGAGAGAGAGAGAAAGAGAGAGAGTAAGAGAAAGAGAGTGAAAAAAGCGAGTGAGAGCGAAAGTGAGTAACACAGAGAGAGAGAGAGAGAGAGAGAGAGAGAGATTAAGAGTCAGAGAGAGGGTAAGGAGCGCAGAAATGATTGTCTAGGTCAAAAACAGTTTCTTCCTTCTTGCCTAGCCTTTCTCCAGTCGACGGTACATTCCACTCGCCACAAACCATCCCAATTAATTTAATCGCAGAAACGAAATCAGAAGGAAAACCCTTGTTAATAAAGTCTGCATATACGGCTGTTTTTGTTTCCTGATATAAGCACCTAGTGACCGACAAATATATAATAACAATACGATGTCTACGAAGTTAATGCCAATAATGGTAATATTAATATCCCTTGGAGTCGATCGAACAAGTCGTTTCGTTGACTCAGCAGGATTTCATTTCGCTTCGTCGTTTCGTCATATTGCCATCTTTCCTGCTTCAGTCACATACTCACTCGATTTACGCATTTTTATTAAACCTGGTGTTATTGGACAACATTTACTGATTTATTGCCCCGTGCGTGTTGCAG